TGGTGCAACTACAGGAATGGACTTGAGAATACAGCGGCTTGAGCCCTGAGTCCATTATTGGCATGCAGGAGCATTTCTCTGGGGTACTCCCAAGGCTAGAAGAGCAGACAAGAATGTTAAGACTGTTGTACATATGCTCAAGGATTTAAAGAAAAACATATATAAAATTAGCAGAGAAATAAAGCTGTGGAAAGACCTACATGAAATTTCTAGGGGTGAAAATTCAATATAAGAAATAATTAAATGTAGTGAACATGATTAAAGGAGATTAGACACATTATAAAATTAGTGAATTTGACATAGCAGTAGCTAAGCAAAAGGAAGCACAAAGAAGAAGAAAAAGAGCAAAAGAAAAAAAGACAAAATAAAGTGAGCCTCAGGGAACATAGGCACTTAGAAAGTGGCCTAAAATATGTGTAGCTGCAGCTCCAGAAGTGCGGAGAGCAGGAAAAAATCAGAAAAATTAATAGCAGGCAGGCTTGGTGGTGCACGCCTGGGAGGCTGAGGCAGGAGTTCAAGACCAGCCTGGGCTACATAGTGAGTTGCAGGTCATTCTCAACTACATAGTGAGACCCTGTCTCAAAAACCCAAAATAATAACAATAATAATAATAAAAGCTAAGAGTTTTCTCAAATTTGATAATATCTGTGCAGCTTAGACAATCTCAATATACCTCAAAAAGAATCGACACAGTGAAACCCACATTAAGGCATACAAATTCAAAATGTTGAAAAACAGTAGTAGGGAGAGCATCTTAAAATTAGTCTGAGAAAATCTATATGTGATGCTCAGTGGAATAATGACTGAAAGCTTGACATAAAGCATGCAAACCAGAAGACAATAAGATGGATTCTTTAAAGTGCTGAAATAAAATTCTCTCAATATCAACTTCAATGCCTAGTACAAGTTTATCTCAGTGATATAAAATTATTTTTAGGCAAGCAGAAGCATAGATTTTCTGCTACCAGCTAATCTGCACTGCAGACCTCCTGTATTTTTTGTAAAATCCTGCATTTATACTAGGTACATTGCTCAGCTATTCATTCTGACAAAACACCTGAGAAAGTAACTTTAAAAAGAGAAGTGTATTTTAGCTTATGGGCTCAGAAGTTTTCATCCATGGTCACTGGCTCCACAGAAGAAAAATGGTTCAGAATGTGATGGAGAAAACCTGCTTGACTCACAGCAGGAAGGAATCAGCAAGAGGGAAAGAGCTAGAAAAGAAAGTGTCTGACAGATATAGTTTCCAAATTCATGCCTACATGACACACATCCTTCCTTGAGGCACTGCCTTCCAATAATATAGGTCATTAATTTATTACCTCATCCATGGATTAACCCACTGAGGAAGTCAGACTCCTCATAATCCATTTTTCTTTGGAAACACCCATAGATACCCAGAGGCTTGTTTTGCTAATTCCTGAAATGTTTCTTTATCCAATCAAGTTGCAAATCAAGATTAACTATCATGTCTCAACCCTTTATCTAAACACATCTCCTGAAACTACACTTAATCTTCAAATAATGATGTTGTAATTCGGCCAATCATTATATTGCTATTCTTCATATAACTCAGATTGAACTGATTGCCTCCCAAAGACTCAACATTTTCAGCATTACCTAAAAGTTCAAGTCCAAAGTCTCTACTGAGACTCAAGGCAACTGTTTATCATGAACTCTTGTAAAAAGTCAAAAAACAATCTATATAGTCCCAGAATACAATGACACAGGGTGAATATTCCCATTTTTAAAGGAAGGAGTGTACAATAGAAAAGAATTGGACCAAAGCAAGGCCTAATACCATCAGTGTAAACATTAAATTCTGTAGAATTGTTTCCAGCACATCACAGCATGCTGTAATTTTCAAAGGGCTACGGCAAGGCATTCACACTCCTGGCATCTTCAGCTACATAGCATCTCTATTATAGCTTCAGCATCCCTCTCACACCTCAGTTACAGCCCATGCCAGGACTTTCCTGCAGGGGCTGTGACTCTGTCCAAAACCTTCCTGTGAAAATCTCATTGAAAGTCTCTGGTATGAGCTGTGTTTAGATGTACCCCCAAAACCTCATGCACTCGTAGTTAGGGCTTTTTAGAGGTGGCTGGTTCTAGGTTGTGTAAATGTGAATTAAGGGCTGTGACTATGGATTAAGGTGTAAATTTAATTTAGTTCACAGATTGGTTTAGCCTTGTCGTGTGGGTAATGAGAAACCCCATTCTGGGTGTGGCTGGCACCACCCAAAAGTTCGCAGCCTGGATAGAATAAGAGGGAAAGGGAGGCTGGCTGCTGCTCCTTCCTACTCACTGCCTCCTGCCTGCCCTGCATGGACTTTTTTTATTCTCTGCCCTGCTAACCTGTCTTGGAAACAGCTGACTATGGGCTGAGCTGTGAGATGAAATAAAGCTCCCCTCTTTTAACTTTGGATGTCAGGTATTTTGTTTCCACAATAAGAAAAGTAACTAAGGCAGCCTCCATGATCCTGAAATTCTTGAACTTTACATGTGTCAGAAATCAGCAATATGTGTAGGACACCTAGATCTGCCGCCAGATTCAAAGAAGATAGGTGCCCTTGGACCGCTGCTGTAATGTCCTCTGAGTCACTAGATGTTAGAGTGCAGTGAAGTTAATTCAGGGGAAATGGTGCCTGAGGCAGCCCTGCTTAAGCAAGAAAGTCCAGAAGCTCTCCTTTCAAATGCATTGTGTACATTTTTACACCATTGAGCCTCTGATGGCTGGGGTCTTACTGATTTCTGGGGTGCTCTCTAAACATCTTCCTTCCTGTCCCTGTAGTCCTACTTGGTTTCATTTTAATGGTGTTGTTCTCTTCAGTAAGTACACCTAATTTGGATCCAGATGATTTACATGCACTTATTTTCTGGGCAAATTGCAAAGTTTTCAAATCTTTGACTATTCTTTTTGCTTTCAATTATCTCTGTACCTCTGGTTAACAGCAGCCAGGAATATCCATTCCACGGACCCTGGATCTTTCCTCTACAGGTTAATTAGGTCATCACCTTTAAATCCAGCCTCATACAAGGTTTTTAGCTCTAGACAAATGTACTTAAATTATTTGTCAAAATGTAGCATGACTAGCTTCTAATCCAATTCTCAATGAAGTTTTTATTTCTATCTGAAACCTCATGAACTGTCTTTACTGTCCACATTCCTATTCCTATTCTTGACTTTTAGTCCTATGCTAGCATTTCCCACCATAAAGTATTTCTCAATCCAAATAAATTGACAAGATTAGCAATCATAGGAAACTTCTGAAGAGTTTAAATAACATTTTAGCAATAAGGAAAACTAAAGCTGTATGTGTAACTAATTCTTTACATAAAAGTTAATTCCACAAGCAAGTCTTGTGTTTGATAACATTTAAGAGAGTAGTGCCTTCTTAATCAGGACATACAGCCCAATTAATATAAATGGTGAAATTAATATATTTGGTGATATGAAAATAAACATTACCATATAACCATAAATCAGATTTTGGGTCTTATTTTTATATTCTTATTTGTATATTCTTATATTTTTATAAGTAGGGTATACCTCTACCTCTGCTTTTAAGTATATTTTGTGATTCATTTTTGTAGAAAAATATTGATAAAGAATAATTTTAATATTTTTCAAAATTCAGCTGCCCAGGAAGTGAATTTGAAACTTTTGCCACATGTATGACCTAAACTCCCATTAGTAGTCTGACCTCAAGGACCCCAAGGCTTATTTGAAGCCATTTGCAGAATCTGGGCATGTGTTCGATGGGGGAAAGGCTTTGTGGTCACAATGATATGCAGCTTCCATTCTCTGACTGCTCAGTCCTGCACTGAGGGAACTGGGAAAGTGAGGCAAGCAGTGCAGGGTGCTTTTCATTGCACTGGGTAGCAAAATATATCACAAAACATTTCAGTAAAGCTCACCTGACCTTCTATTGAATCACCGAATGAACAAACATAAATCAAGGCTGACAAGGTTGAGTCTCTCTCCTCAGAGCTTTGAAAATAATAATATATCATCCTCTAACAATATAACATCCATCCGCCCCCACGTTCACTCTCATCTTGTTGGCAAAAGGTCCCTCAATTCAAAAACAAACCCTCATTATACTAGTTGAATGCAATTCTCATGCCCGGAAAAGAGTATCAGATTCATATTAAAGAGAAGATTGTTTTATACAAGGACTTGCCAAAGAAAGACTTAGAGATGAATTATGTTGAAACTCCCCGTGCTCCTTTAATGAACATTCTAGCGTGTAACCAGATGTTTCATTGGGGAAGGGAATCAACAGAAGCATAGATTGTCCTGCCACTCCGCTGTATCCTGCAATGGAAATTAGAGTGATTCACAAGGAGCAGAATTACCTGGAATATTTATCTTTCAAAATGAGGGAGGAGAGAGAGGGAGAGAGGGAGAGAGGGGGAGAGAGAGAGAGAGAGAGAGAAAGAGAGAGAGACAGAGAGAGAGAGAGAGAGAGAGAGAGAATCACTTCCTTTTCCTCTGTAAAATAAATCCAAACTATTTGTTGTGAGAAATTCAAGCACTTTGTTCCTGTGATGGACTCTGCTGGTAGTCATGGTATGTGTTCTACTCCTTTTCCTAACAGAATTTCAATCTTATGATGTGTCAGTTAAACAAGAAAAAAACAAAAACAAAAAACAAAAATCAGCATCTGCACAAGTGGATAGCTAGACTCCCTTGAAACAAGAAGTGGGCATGTGGTTTGTTCATGATTAGTGAGACGTAGGTGGAATCACTGAGCAGTGTCTCTTAAAAAGATCTCAGATAGGAGATATGAGGCTTGGGCAATTTGGAAAGATCCTGTTTTGAGATTTTAAAAAAGTTCTTGGAAGATAGCTAAGCACTCCCTAGGTTCAAACCTCTGTATTGAAAGAAAAAATCATCATCATCATCATCATCAGCAGCAACAACAACAAAACCCTTTACAGAAAGCAAACTCGGCTGGCAGCTGAAATAACCCCCCTCTTCCCCCTTCTTTTTGTAGAAAGAGGAGACATGATGCTGGAAGTGAAACTAGCCTTCTCATGAGGATGTTGCAACGGATAAAAGTTAGGGTTACATGGCTGACGGAAAGATAAAAGATTCTGGTGAGTCTGCACAGTGGCGTCTACACAGTGGTGATCTATATCTCCAGTCTCCCTGCACATTGAGAAAAAATAAACAGTAATTTTAAAATGAGGACAAATTATTACTTTCAATTGAATGCAATGGCTAATTCCACTATACAACTTACGTCTTTTTATCCCATATTATCCTTACCATGTTAACTATTATGATTGCATGATATTGTAAGATTTTATTATTTTACCCAAATCACAAAGAATGACCTGCGGCTGGAGGCTTTTACACCTCCCCAAGACTTTAAGCAAGCTGTAGTAGAATTCCAGCTGAATGATTTCATTGTGGACCATGCCGGTTTCCCTTCTGTCATATTTTCTCTGACATCTAGTTCAGTTATGATGAGAGATGGAGTTTGGGAAGGACCAAGAGATGCCAGGGTTTCCTACCCACAACAACTCCCCCAGTCCTGTTCTAGTACCTGCACTGAATCATGAGATGCAAAGACCTCTGAGTCTAATAGGACCTTTGAAATTTTAGTGCCCTTTTAATATACCATTCTGAAATATGCACATTTTGAATCATTCTGAACTAACAATTGGCTGAGCAATCTTTTGGGTTAATGCTCTTTTGTAATATAAATCAGCCCACCAGTCCACTAGGCCCTGTTTTGTTTAGCTCATAGTCCTCTACTTGAGAAGCCATTTGTAGCCCAAGCCATAGGCACAAGAAATTAATTTCCATACACAGTGCTCCACTCTGTAGAGGAGTCAGGCACAGGTATGGTCATGGGCTGGCCCCGCTGTCTACCAAAGGCCTCTCTGAAGGAGATGACCTGGCGGTGGGGGTATATTTTGCTAAGGGAACTTATGCTTTCCTGCTTCCATCTCCTCATTTTTCATCCTAAGTATTATTTCTGGCTTCATCTGACCTGGTCAGGAACATCATTCTAATACAAGGAATCTGGTCTATCCATTTCATTGCTGTGTGCCCTCCAGGGAAGAATTGCACTCAGATGTCTCGGGCAGTTTGTGCAGCAAGGATGGGCACTGGGTAAAGCACTCCATACCTAGGCTATAGAGGAAGAAGCAGACAAATGTACCTTATTGCAAATGTATGAGTCTATCTGATGTGTTTCCCTTAGGACTTCTGCTAGAAGCCTATGGGGGAGGAATCAATTGATAAGGAATAATGATCAGCAGAGAAGAGATCCAAGACAAAATATATATATGTATATATTTTTGTAGGCTGCAGAGTAATTATGTATTGAGGAAATGTGCCATTATACAGTTATGTTTGCTTGGAATTGCTCCCTATGTTTGGTTACTAGAAATAGAAGATAAATAATTAGGTCATTTGAAATATTTTTCCTTTGTAAGTTAAATAAAGACACAGGTGAGTCAGGATGGTGGACATTTACTGTTTTATTTATCACAACCATGAAACAAACAAAAAAACCCTACATAGTTCCAAAACTGTAAGTAAACAATAATTGTAAATATGTTCAGGATTTTGTGACAGCCTTATGCAAAGTGCTGGGGAAAAGACAGGAAAGGCATGGCTTGTGGTGACTGGGGAAAAATCAGAGACAAGTTCAGTGAAGACACAGAACCAAAGGAATGCCCCTGAAGACAAGGTCACGTTCCAGACAGAGGATACCACATGTTGAAGAAGTCACCAAGAGGAAATGTTTTCATAGGCAGAAGAGGGAGCATTCTTCTTGCTTGTTTGTGTTATTGCCTTTTGTTAAATAGGGGAGAAGATGAATTCACTCACATTCCACACAGGTATTCTAGAAAATGAACTGTGCTGAGAAGAGATTGGCATAAGAAGATCAGCTTATTTCTTTTTTTTTTTTATTCTTTTTTTCCTTTCTTCCCTTCCTTTTAATGATTGTGTGATGAGTGCATAGAATTTTCTGGGAAATGAGCTTTATCTTCTTGAAATTTCAAAGCAGCTTTATGAAGTAGCTGTTGCTTCTCTCTTTTAGACTCAAGGACAATGTCAAAGGATCAACACCAAACCCGAATGCATAGCTCAGGCGATCAAAATACAAGTCAATGAGCTCCTTGACCCCTATAAGATAGGACTGGCCTGACCTATATTTTATTGTGATTTTTGTGGCATTTATGTGTTCTCTAAACTCAATTTGCTAAATATGCTTTACTGATACAATGTAAATCAAGGTGCTATCAGAAAATTCTTATATACAATGACAGTTGCTCTGTGTGCACATATAATGTCACTTTCAATATTATAATTGTATGAATTAGTTTAGAATGATCATTGAATTTAACCATTTCCCATTAAAAGTAATGAAGATATACTATATGTTTCTCCACAATCCCCAAAGCAAATTGTACTATTACTTAATGCAAACGCACACTAATAAAAAGGAAAATAGGTGAATTACTGTGTCTGTGCTCCAATACAACGTTTTTTATGAAATGAAAAAAGTCATTTTAAAAGTATTTTAATTAGACAAAGTAACTTTCTTTTAAAAATTGATTATTTAAAAATGTAAAAAGCAGGATTAGTCAAAATAACTTATAAAAATACAAAAGAGAAAAAAACACTTGCTCTCCAGTTTTTGAAGACATTATAAACATACACTGATTTTTAAACATAAATTTATTTCTCTTGGAACTTTTTAGGTAAATAAAATGTCATCTCATGTATGTGAAACTGTATGTTATCTCTAATTCTTAGCCATTAATACTTTTCCTTGTCCAATTGTGTTAGTTTTATAAAATACTACAGCCCATTAAAAAGTTTACTTTTTCTTTCTTTTCCCCCCTTTGGTGCTGGGGTTTGAACCTGGGGCCTTCACATTGGGCTACTTCCATAGCCCTCTATTTTTTGAGACAAAATCTCACTAAGTCACTCAGTTGCCCGGACACAGATTCAACTTGCAATCCTCCTGCCTCAGGCTTTTGGGGTACTGGAATTACAGGAGTACACCACCATGTCCCATTATCAACATAGAAAGCCTCCTTACTATCAACAGCTCCACCACAGTGATATATTTGGTATATTTGTTGATGAAACTACATTGACGAAACCTATCTCAAAGTCCATAATTTATGCTACCATCGGAGTAGTAGTTATTCAAAGAATTTGGATAAATGTGTGACTTGAATCCACCATTATCATAATAGACAGGGTACTTTGACTTCTGTAAAGGTTCTCCATGCTTACCAGATTATCCTTCCTGCTGTGGACTGAATGTGTCCTCTCAAAATTCATACACTGAAACCTAAGCTGGATGCATATACCTGCACCCAAGCTGGCCCTGCCTGGACAAGCTGAAACATACAATCCCCCTCCAGAATACCTATTCTGCGAGGAAGAGGTGGGCTTGCAGGTGGGACCTCCACAAACAGCATTAGACCCCATCTAAGAAAGTAAATGCTTTTCATTCCCCTCTCCTTTACTATATGAGTATACAATACAAAGATGATTATTTGAAAAATAGAAAAAATTCTATACCACATACAGCATCTTCTAGAACTTAATCTTGAACTTGCCCACCTTCCAGAACTATGAGAATAAAGTGTCAGCCACCCGTTCTATGTTATTCTGTGACAGCAGCCTAAGACACCTCACTCTTTCACCCCTTCACAACCACAGATTATTTTACTTTATCTATAGGTAGGACTTTTCCACTGTGTGAAATGGTCAGCCTCCTAAAGTATGCAGCCTTTTTAAATTGGCTTGATTTACATAGTAATACGCATTTAAAGTTCCTCCATGTCTTTTCATGGCTTGGTAGCACATTTTTATTTAGCATTGAATATCGCGTCACTGCCTGGACATACCAGTTTACTTACCTATTCACCACTGAAGGCAATCTAGGCCATTTCCAAATTTTGGCCATTCTAAATAATTCTTCTACAAACTTTCATGCAGGTTTTTGTGTGGACCTAAGTTTTCAGTTCATATAAGTAATTATTAGGGAAGACATTCATTGGACCAGGTGTTTTTTAGTTTCCTTGGAAATTACCAAAATGTCTTCTACAATAGCTGTACCCTTTGCATTTCCACCAGCAATGAATGAATGTTCTTATTTCTCTGAATCTTCATCAGTATCTGGTGTTGTCAGTGTTCTTGGTTTTAGCCATTCTAATACATACACAATATCATGTGGTTGTTGTTTTAATTTATGTTTCTGCAGTAACGTGTGATGTTTAACAAGTGTTCATTTTCTTGTTTTCTATCTGTAATGTCTTATTTGTTGGCATATCTGCTGATGGGGCATTGCACATTTTTTAATTGAGTGGTTTGGATTCTTAGGGTTGAATTTTAATAATTCATTTTATACTTGGAATAACTTTGTGAGAGTCACATATGTCTTACGTATTTTTTTCTGGTCTGCAGCCTGTCTTTTCATTCTTTGGACAATGATTTTCACAGAGCCAAAATTTGTCATTTCAGTGTTGTCCAGCTTATCGAGTCTTTCTTTCATCAATCACACCTTTAGTGTTATATGTAACAAGCTATTGCCATGCACAAGTTTCATTAGGTTTTGCTTATATTACCTCTTAAGTGTTTTAAAATTTTGTGCTTTACTGTTAGACCTATAACTCAATTTGAGTTGAAGTTTGTGAAGGGTAGAATGTGTCTAGAACCACTTCCCATCTGCTTTTCTTTTTCTTTAATTTGGATTTTCAGTTGTTTTAGCATTCTGTTGAAAGGACTATTTTTTCCTTTGTGATATTGCCCTCATAAAAGGTTACTTGACTAGGTCTACGTGGCTCTATCTTGGCTTATCTATTCCATTCCACTGATCTATTTTCCTATTCTTTTGCCAATAGTAACATCTTCAATTACTATACCTTTATAGCAATTCTAGAAATTGAATAGTATCAGCCCTTCAAGCTGTTATTTTTCTTCAATATTGAGTTGGCTATTCTGGTTCTTTCCCTTCTCCATAAATATTTTAAAAGCTTTTCGTTAATTTCTTCAAAATAGTTTCCTAGACTTCTACTTGGGACTCTACTGGATCCATAGATCAAGTTAGGAAGA